TAAGAAATTTTATTCCCCCACCTCCCCCCAGTTTTCAGCAAAATGTAGAGAAATTACCCCAATTATCTCCCACCTGCCAAAATCATCAAAAAACCTGGAAAATGTGACTTTCTGACCGTTTGTCTATATCGGGGGATATCTTTGATCAATTTTGCGTAGATTAGGACAACTCGCTTGTTAAAAGATTTTTCCGATGTGAAAATCTCCTCATTCGTAAAAAGAATCCTGCTCCCTTTTTTGGAGCGTACCGCTTGAGGTGACTCCTGCATTTATTTAATCTGGCTTTCCTTTCGGGTGCGATCAGGATGTGGCAAGTACCACATTTCAAAGCCTTAAGCCTATGCTTCAATTTGAGCACTCATTGGATAATTTTCATCGACACTGTCAGCCGTGAGCCCGGTTTCCGTTGGAATTCCGTGAATTTCTTTGGATTCCAGGCTTGAGAGGCTAAACGATGGGTGTGGTCCTTGGAGGCTTTCAAAAAATTCTTCTTCGACTGTTCTTAGTCAGTCTGGTCCTCATGAACGTTTCTATAGTCCATCGGGCTAAATTAAAGTGCAACCTTGACTTTTTCAGCACATGTCAAATTCACTGTTTTTCTTCGATTTTTTTTTGTGAAAAACTATCGCCGCCCGCTTCTCTTCAATTTCCTATATATTTATCCAGATGTTCAAAAATTGCAAAGTCTATAGTGAATCATAATGTAAATCGCATGGCGAATCTAATGCACTTATCAGATTTTTATTTTGCAGCGTAGTTTTTTAGCAATCAGCTGTTGACACTTGAGTGTTCCCGACTATGTACATATACCTAACAAAGGACTTGATATTTTTCACTAATCAGAAATCGATACGTTAAAATTATTAGATATTTTGTCATATAAATAGATGTGTAATATTTTCAATTTATTGACACTCAATTTGTATCCAATTATTTTTTTGCAGATGCGTTACATACGCTGGATCTGGCTCATAATTTTTATGAGACAGATTCATGCAGGGATAGTGACTGGGTAAAATTTTGTGAATTTATTTTGCAAATTTTTGCCCAGTTTTATAAAAGTGAATCAAGTCAGGTTTATCCTTTTACAACTTACATTTAAAATATTGTAGTAATTGAAATAGAATAATTTGAACGTCAGTGTAAATTATTGGTAAATAATGATTAGTCAAAATAATTAAGAGATGGGAAGTTTAGCCAATGTTCTAGTCATTCGTAAATTTGTACAAAACACATCCATTAGTTTAGCAAAAGAATTTTACAAACTTTTACAAAATAAAAAGACGCCCGTGATCTGAGTAACTTTATAAAAATTTGTAAGCTAATTTTCCTCAGAAATATTTGCCAATTTTTGTAAAAGTTTGTAACTTTAGAGAATTGACGGATTTAACAATGTTACAATGGGCCGCTTGAATTGCTTGGGCAGTTTATAAACTTAAAACATTATTTTAAATTTTATAAATTTTGAGACGCTAATATAAATTTTTATAAAATGGCTGCTATCATAATTTACAAAGTTTACTATATTGGCTAGATGAAGAGTTTTGGAGGTTATAAAAATGTCCGTTAAGCTTCTTTTTGAAATTTTTTCAGCTCGACGAATTCCTCTCTGATATTGGAATGATGGACACGACGTAGGTCAAGCCAACGGACGAGCACGACAACATGATGTTCCGAGCTGTCCCCTACATTTGGAAGGATACAATCCCGAACTCTTGAGTGAGATGAGCAAAAAAAAAATAACTCTAAATTTGGTAAACTTGGCAAACTGGGCACGAAAAGCTTCTAAAGTTTAAGATAATTTTTAAACATAATTGGGTCTACAATTTCAACCTTTAATTATTATTACTAATAAAAGTCAGGTTACAAAAAAATGTTTCATAAACTTGGACTTTCTATTTTGTTAGGACTTCGACGCCGAAATTTGTTTGCAGATAAATCTTGTTATTTACAAGTAAATTAGATCCTATATATTATGAGATTTGTCGTAAATTATATTTGTAATTGTGGCTAATTTATTTATTGGGCGTGCGCTTACGTAACTATTTGCAAAAGAATAAACTACGCATAAAATGATTTTCAGTGGTTGTGGACTTGGTGATATTTATTTCTCTCGAGAGAGGATGAAACTCATGTGTGAAAAAGTGGTGGACATTTGTGTCCCAATAAAGAGGCAGCTTGAGACACAGTATTTGGTGGTCTGACTACATATACGTTTATTCCCTCCTTCCACTTTGCTGTCCAAAAACCCAATAATCTACTTTACAATGTCAACCTTTTCATATCGTTTTCTCTCTCCCCCACTACTTAAGGATCTATGTACATACGTGTATCTTACAATCTAACATAATGCTGCCTTTGCACTCTCTCACGCTTCTGCATGGGTCAAGAGTCAAGCATAATAAATTTTAATGGTTGGCTGGAACTTTGTTGCTGGCTGGTCGAAACTGGACACTTTTCACCAGATCCTGGTCTCTGGTTGAGATGAGATGCTGACAATATGCTCCAGCTATAGATATTTCATGTAACAATGGAGGTCCCCCGACGCAAGGTGTAATATCTAAAAAAAACAACCAATTATTTTAAGGTCTAAAATGAACCCATGTGGGTGGGGGAGCATAAAAATGTGGCTTATTGTGGTGTTTTGGAGGGGTTTCAAAAAAAGTCTCAAATTCCCCTCAAAACTGAGACCTCATCTGAGACCATACGTTGCAACGTATGCTCTCAGACTTTGAGCAAACTAGTGTCAATCGGTCACAGATTTAATTAATACGAAATTTGTGAAAGACACGATCTCCCAATGGTCACGTTTGTCAGAAGTACTTGCATCCGAAGAAGAGGCCTAGAAGTCAAACCAAAATGTTTTAAGGTGTTTATTAGGCAAAGTTAAAAATATGGAGTGACTATACTTGGTTTTGTAATTTGGTTTCCAGGTTAATTAAGTTTTTAGAAGGAGTAAAAAATTTACGTAAAATTGATGCATATAAACAGGTTTAAACTATGTATTATCATGACTGTCGTCGAGATTTACATAATTATTTTAAATGATATTTGACATGATAATGAAAAAAATCTGAATGTATTTGCTGTGATATGAAAATGACTTTGGTGGATGTATGTATGTACCTTTGAGACAGAGACCAGTTTGGTAAATTTGAATGGTGCCATTCTGTCGTCCTTTTTCCTGGAACTTGTCCAGTTTTTAATCTTTAAGTTTTTTGAACCTTTCGTGACCTCCTCAACCCCACCTCCAATAATTGTGTGGCCATCAGCCATTGGCTGGTGAGGTTGAGGAGACCTTCCCTATGCCAGAAGTTGGCTTCGGTTTTGGCAGTGAATATGCCCTTTTTAAGTGAAGTTCAAGTTGAAATAATTTTAGTGTCTCTCCAGCTACGAGAACAATAACACGTATTTTGCCCCTCGTCTCTCTTAACACTCTAAAATTGTAAGTAAATGAGAAATTGTGTGACGAATAAATAAAACTACCAACAAAGTAACTAATTGTGACAACGCCGCCGCTTATTTACACAGTTTTACGGTCACACCACGCCATCGAGTTACACAATAAGTCACACAAACACAAATACATACAGTCCTCAATTTCCGAGACATGATGGTCTCGCTCCCTGAATAGTGCCAGCCCTAAAAAAGTGCCAGAGTGAGTGAGACGAGGGGGAGGACCTGCAGCCAGCCAATAAGGGTCCAAGTTGGAGACGATGCTCGAGGACCGCCGCCACTGGGTCCTTCACTAGTAATCTTCGTCACATTTCGTGACTCTGTATTTTGGGTTTGAACCCGCCCCTGAAGGGGTTCATCTTCCGGGAAGTCGCGTCCAATTTCCCCCCCAAGAGGACAAAATTTTAATTTTTTTCCCTTTGTTGGGTCTGTTGTTCCCTACAGAATGTCGGAACGACCCGCGAGGAGCACAGCCGGACAGCTACCACTCCGATATATGGATTACGAGGCCCTTAAGGTCATCGTCACCAGGTCGCCGGCGGTGGATTCGCCAGCATCGATCGCGACCGGGAGTGGGTCGCGGAAGAGCGCCCACACCATCCGCAGCCAAAAGAAGATCGACGTGGAGACTCGCGCCGCGCTCGTCGATGTGGAGGAGGAGCAGCTTGCGCGAAGAAGGGACCTCGCACTTATGGAGTCCCAGCAACAGTCCCTCCTCCGCAAGATCAAACGCCTTATTGACAAATGTGCAGATCCTGACCTCCCCTCAGAAGAGAGCGATGACCTCCACAAACAGCGCAAGGGTCTCGAAAAGGACCTTGAAGAGTCAATTGAGGATATCGAACGGGCAAAAGTCGTCATAACCTTTGAAGCGGAGTCAGCAGAGCTCCAGAAAAAGAAAATCCTGATCAAGGCCGACTCCGAATTGAACAAGTTGGACTTCGATTCAGATGTGGAAGAGGTCGAACGAGAGTCAGAACCTGTCGACAAAACGGATCTGACTCTCAAGTGGGCGGAACAACAACAAATAACTAGCCAAGGTCAAGTCACTTCCCCTTTTCTACAAATGCCATTCATCGGAATGATTCGTTGCCCCATTTACTGCACAATCGATGTCATCGTCCTCCGCCACGACAACAACGACTACTGCAATGTCGAACCCTCTCTTCGTGACATTTTCCATGCCCTTCTCCTTATCTCCCGATTATTGGACATCGTTGACGTCGTCCCCTTCTGTGTCAACGTCGCACATCTTTTTTGGTGCAACTCCGCCCCCTGCGTCCGCGCACCAGAACTACTGGACTACGCCTCAGTCCACGCCGTACTCAGCTCCGCCGCCCCCAAATAGCCCAATCGTTACGCCAGTGTCCACGCCACACGCGTTCTCCACTGCACCTCCGCCGCCCCCAAGTAATCCAATCCTCACGCCCGCGCCAACGCCTCACACGTTCTCTGCTGCACCTCCGCCGCCCCCAAATATTCCGATCGTCACCACCGCTCATCATACGACCACGCCGATCGTATCTGCTGCCACGGGGAGCACAATGCCTCCCCCTCAAGCAACCTATTACTGGACTGCGCCCCAGTCCACGCCGACCATGCCGCCTTACACGATTGCAGCACCACCGCCCCCACCGCTGCAGAATCCCTTGGTCAACCCGGCAATTAGCTCTTCCGCCGACAAGATTTTGGCACGTCAAGTCCAAGGGCGCGACCTACCAACTTTCACTGGTCGCCCGGAAGAGTGGCCAGCTTTCTTCGTGGCCTTCCTCACCAGTACGAATTTCTGCCAGTTCTCACATGCTGAGAACCTGGTCCGCCTTCAACGCTGCCTCAAAGGAGAGGCCCTCAAGATGGTGCAATGTCTGCTGGTGTCCCCCGACAGCGTCCCAGTAGTCATCCAGAAGCTGAAGATGAGGTTTGGTCGGCCCGACCAATTAATTGAAAACTTGATAGGAAAAGTCCAAAGCCTTCCCCCAGTCAAGATGGAGAAGATGGACACGCTCATCGACCTGGGCATCGCCGTCGATAACCTCGCCGCCACCATCAAAGCCCTCAACTGCACACAGCACTTGTGCAACCCCATGCTCATCAAAGAGCTTGTGAAGAAGCTTCCGAGCACCAGCCAACTCGACTGGGCTCGTCACATGCAGCTTTCCGGTCACCCGTTGCCAACCGTCGACTTTTTCGCAGAGTGGCTCACAAGCTACTCTGACGCCGCCTGCGTCCTCTGCCCCCCTGTAACAAGCCATGAAGTCAACCACCACGAAAGAAAAAGAAGAAACAATCATGATCGAGTCCTGGTGGCGGAAGAAGAGAAGAAGAAATCCCGAGGCGACCATCGAGATAATCGTCATCGTCAACCGAAACCCCCCGAAAAATGCCCCTGTTGCAAGAGTAACAATCACAAGCTGCACGCATGCAGGGATTTCGCCGACAAACCGACAGACGAGAGGTGGGAGCTCGTTAAAAACAACCACCTCTGCTTCCGATGTATGGCATCTGGCCATGGGGCCAGAGATTGCAAATTTTCCCGATCTTGTGGCGTTGACGGGTGTGAAAAGCACCACCACAAGATGCTACACATAGCAGCCCCACGGAGAAGCCCAGCCAACGACGCTGCAGTACCACCCGAAATGGTCAACACGGGAGAAGAAGTCCCCTACATCGATTTGATGGTCCTTCCTGTGACGTTGGAGGGCCCCGGTGGGTCAATATCCACCTTCATGATGTTGGATTGCGGCAGTACTCTTACGGTCATTGAGAGTACCATCGCGGAAGCAATTGGATTACGGGGGGAGTCCCGTCAAATCAAGGTGGGCGGCTTCCAAACCGACCCCACCATACTCAACACCAAAGTCGTCTCCTTCCGCATCAAGTCCAAGGACAGCAGCTTCGTCCACAATCTGCAGAATGTCAAGACGGTTGACAAATTGAAGCTGCGGGAGCAGTCCGTTCGGAAGTCACTGCTCAAGAAGTGGCCTCACCTCCAGGGAATCGACCTGGACACCTACGACTGCAAGCGTCCAGGGATTCTGGTGGGGATGGACAACCCCACCCTCTTCCTACAAAAAGATTACCGAGTAGGAAAGGGAAGCAACAGCAATTCCCCAATCGCCATCCGTACGCCGCTGGGATGGGCGTTAATGGGGAGGACAGCGTGGGCCGGCCGAGAGCAATATGCATATCACATGCAAGAAGTCGACCCCCTCCACCAGCTCGTGAAAGACCAGTTTTCCACCGAGTCATTTGGAGTCAAGCCGTTGGTGGAGAAGCCCAGAACGAAGGAAGACAAGAGAGCTCAAGAGATTTTAGACGCATCTACTCGCCGAGTTGAAGGAGGATGGGAAACTGCGCTGTTGTGGCGTGATGATCATGTCCAACTCCCTGAGAGCTACTCCACCGCGTATCGTCGCCTCATGTCTATGGAGAGAAAGATGGACCGCGACCCAGAATTTTTGAAGAGTTACTGCACCAAGATTGATGAGTATCTGCCCAAGGGATATGCGAGAGTTTTGTCCCCAGAAGAAGCCGCCACCACATCCAGCAAGACCAACTACATCCCCCATCTTATGGCGCTCAATCCCAAGAAACCAGGAAAGTTACGCTTCGTCTTTGACGCCGCCGCCAAGAATCATGGTCGCAGTCTAAACGACCATCTCCTCCAGGGACCAGATAAACTAATTCCATTGCCCAACATTCTTCTCAAATTCAGACAACGACAAATTGCCCTCACCGCCGATATTGAGGAAATGTTTCACCGCGTCAAAGTGAAACAAGACGATGCCCAAGCCCAACGCTTCCTATGGAAAGGAAGTGACCGCCTCCGACCCCCCGATACCCTCGAAATGGGAGTGCTCATCTTTGGAGCCACATGCTCCCCCACTTGTGCCCAGGAGGCGAAGAACAAGAACGCTGCCGAGTTTCAACAGCAATATCCCGACGCCGTAGATGCCATCATCAACCGGCACTACGTTGATGACCTGCTCGAATCTTGTGACACGGTGGAGCAGGCCAAGAAGAGATTCGAAGAGGTTCGAATCATCCACGCCGCCGGTGGATTCAACCTCCGCAATTGGCTGTCCAATTCCCCCGAAGTGGTGGCCCACATCCCCGAAGAGCTTCGTGCCAGCAACATGAAAGATTTGCAGATGGGCGAAGACAACGTCATTGAGAGAGTCCTTGGTCTTTTTTGGAGACCAGAATCGGACGTCTTCACTTTCTCCCTCAACTTCGTCAAAGCCAGAGAGGAGATCCTATCTGGGAAGAAAGTCCCCACTAAACGTGAAATGCTGTCTCTGGTCATGTCCATCTATGACCCATTGGGATTCCTTGCCGTGCTCACCATAAAAGCAAAAATCCTACTACAGCAAGCATGGCGCAGCGAGGTCGGGTGGGATGATGATATCCCCCGATCCACATTCGAATCATGGAGAATTTGGTTACAAGAAGTACAGAAAATTCCCACATTCCGACTCCCCCGATGCTACTCGTTGACCTTCACGTCTGCTTACGAGGTCCAACTCCACATCTTTGTCGACGCGAGTGAAGAGGCATTCGGAGCAGTAGGCTACTTCCGCATTCAGAAAGAAGAGAAGGTGGAAATCGCCCTCGTAATGGGAAAAGCCAAGGTCGCCCCCCTCAAAAGCCTGTCCATTCCCCGTATGGAGCTGCAAGCAGCGTTGATGGGAGTCAGACTCGCCCACACTATCTGTCAACAACATGAAGTGAAAATTGAAAGAACAATTTTCTGGTCCGACAACACCACCGTCTTGGGATGGATCAGATCGGACGGAAGGAAATACGTCCAATTCGTCGCCAACCGAGTGGGAGAGATTCAGGAACTCTCCACTCCAGAACAATGGAAGTGGGTCCCCACTTTAGAGAATGTCGCCGACGAGTTGACCAGACTTGAGTCTCCATGCGATTTCCAGCCCTCAAGTCGTTGGGTGAATGGTCCCCCCTTCCTCAAACAATCCGAAGAAAATTGGCCTGTCCCCACCTGCACAAAAACAAAAGAAAGCCCGGAAGAAGAAATGAAGACCCACTGCGTCCTCCATTTCCACGAAACTGTCCCCCTCATGGACATCAGTCGCTTCTCATTGTGGAGGCGCCTAATCAATACCACCGCGTATGTGTTTCGAGTCCGCGACCTCACGATGAAGAAATCGCCCTTCTACAGCAAAGAACTTTGTCCAGAAGAGTTGGTCCGCGCCCAGCAGTGGTGGTGGAGAACAAGCCAACAAGAAAGTTTCCCGAACGAGTGGGAGTGCCTGTCTGCCGAGCTGTCCCTCCCCAAGAAGAGTAAATTGTCCAAACTATGCCCCTATTTGGACAAAGATGGAGTGCTGCGAGCCCGTGGTCGAATCGATAACGCCGCCCAAGTTGATGCAGCAATGAGAAGACCGGTCATTTTGGACGCCCGACACCCGTACACACGCCTCCTCATTGCCCATTTCCATCGCCAGTGTGGACACCACGGAACAGAGAAAATCCTGAATGAGATTCGACAACAATTTTATGTCGTTCACCTCCGCCCCGCAGTCAAGAACGCCCAGCAGTCCTGTCAAGCCTGCAAAAATTTTAAAGCCAAGCCGTCCCCTCCGGAAATGGGCCAATTGCCAGTCGCCAGATTGGATAGTCACGTCATCCCCTTCCACCGCACAGGACTCGACTACTTCGGCCCCATCGAGGTTATTGTGAAGAGGAGTCGCGAAAAGAGATACGGCGCCCTCTTCACATGCCTCGTGACCCGAGCCGTGCATCTCGAACTAGCCCACAGCTTGAGCACGGACTCTTGTATCTTGGCGATACGCAGATTCGTCGGAAGAAGAGGATGTCCAGCCCACCTTTACTCGGACAACGGTATCAATTTCCGAGGTGCTGACAACGAGTTAAAAACGGCCCTGCAAGAAATAAATCAACAACAAATTGAGAACGAGTGCGCCACGAGAGGAATCATTTGGCACTGGAATCCCCCCTCAGCACCACACTTTGGAGGAAGTTGGGAACGCCTCGTCCGCTCCGTCAAGACAGCATTGGGAAAGGTTCTTCTGCAGAAGAATCTGAAAGATGAAGCCCTCTACACCTTCCTCGTCGAGGCTGAACACGTGGTTAATAGCCACCCCCTAACTCACGTATCAATTGATCCTGATGACCCAGAGGCCCTTACACCGAACCATTTCCTCCTTGGGCGCTCCAGCAACCTGAAACCCGTTGGCGAGTTCAGCCACACAGATCTTACAAGCCACCACCAGTGGCGAGCCACTCAAGAATTGGCTAATCAATTTTGGAGGAGGTGGGTTCATGAATATCTCCCCACCCTCCTCCGCCGTGACAAATGGGACCGCCCAACCACTCCGATTCAAGAAGGAGACGTCGTTGTCGAGGTCAACGAGTCCCTCGACCGAAATCAATGGCCACTGGGGATTGTGGCGAAGACTTCCCCGGAAATGATGGAATTCACCGCGTCGTCGACATCCGGATGTCCAACGGGAAGCAGTATCGCCGCCCAGTCGCAAAACTTTGCGTCCTCGACGTGCGGGACCAAGACCGCGAAGCCCGACGCCCAGCTCGACTCCACCAATTAAATGCGACACTCGCATTGGGGAGGACTATGTCGTCGAGATTTACATAATTATTTTAAATGATATTTGACATGATAATGAAAAAAATCTGAATGTATTTGCTGTGATATGAAAATGACTTTGGTGGATGTATGTATGTACCTTTGAGACAGAGACCAGTTTGGTAAATTTGAATGGTGCCATTCTGTCGTCCTTTTTCCTGGAACTTGTCCAGTTTTTAATCTTTAAGTTTTTTGAACCTTTCGTGACCTCCTCAACCCCACCTCCAATAATTGTGTGGCCATCAGCCATTGGCTGGTGAGGTTGAGGAGACCTTCCCTATGCCAGAAGTTGGCTTCGGTTTTGGCAGTGAATATGCCCTTTTTAAGTGAAGTTCAAGTTGAAATAATTTTAGTGTCTCTCCAGCTACGAGAACAATAACACGTATTTTGCCCCTCGTCTCTCTTAACACTCTAAAATTGTAAGTAAATGAGAAATTGTGTGACGAATAAATAAAACTACCAACAAAGTAACTAATTGTGACAACGCCGCCGCTTATTTACACAGTTTTACGGTCACACCACGCCATCGAGTTACACAATAAGTCACACAAACACAAATACATACAGTCCTCAATTTCCGAGACAATGACTATGTAACTATGTACCCAGTTTTATCAAAGTGGATCAAGACATGTTTATCTTTATACAATTACACTTAGGAGGAAAGACCCTCTACATGCCCCTCTCAGATCTCGATGCCCTTTGGATATTTTGTAGTGTCCCATGAATGTACAACAACCCTGAAGTGGTTTGATGCCATGGCCACATTTGCCCCCGCCACACCCACTCAAAGGTGCCCAAAAATCGCTTTCACTCTAGCTTTCAACCATTCAAAACCACGCCAAAAATCCAATTTTACTCCGGTTTTGAAATTTCTTTCACCATTATACTCCTAGATAGTTGCTCTCTTATGTCCAACATCAAACTCAACTTGTTCGATGATTATTTCGCAGAAATAATTTGCTTTGTTGATTACTACAACAATGCTCATTCAGAATTTTAAATTTTAAAAATACTAAAAATTTCATAAAGTTGAGTTTGATGTTGGACATAAGAGAGCAACTATCTAGGAGTATAATGGTGAAAGAAATTTCAAAATCGGAGTAAAATTGGATTTTTGGCGTGGTTTTGAATGGTTGAAAGCTAGAGTGAAAGCGATTTTTGGGCACCTTTGAGTGGGTGTGGCAAATGTGGCCATGGCATCAAACCACTTCAGGGTTGTTGTACATTCATGGGACACTACAAAATATCCAAAGGGCATCGAGATCTGAGAGGGGCATGTAGAGGGTCTTTCCTCCTTAGGGTTAGGAAAAAACCTGGGGTTTTACATCGAAAACAACCACGGAATTTAATTCAAGTTCAAACTTGTACTAAATTATAAATTTCGATCCGCACAAATGTTTGACTTGGTAGCAATTAAAATTTTGCTATAAAGTTACTTTCGTATCGTTAAACACAGGCCAATTAATTGGTATACAACCTATAATAGATTGAAAAACTTGTCTCAAATTCCATAAGTATCCAGAAATTACACAATTTCAAAGTATGTACAAAAAATTTGGTTTCGAGGAATGTAATCCCCGGGTTTATGTACATATTTACTTTAATTTCCGAGCTAAATAGAATTTTTGGATGATTTCTGACCAATTGTGGGGATAAAAGTTGAAAATTGTGTGCCAGGTTCACATCAAAATTTAAAAAAATGCACGCACTAATGACGAATTTTAATTTTAGATGTAAGTCATGGGGTGGATGTACATAATCATTTCTGGAAAACAGTTATATTTACATTTTACAGTTCTATCATAACGTTATTAACAAAATATAAACAAGTACTTAATACTTTAATAAATTATCCACTCAATTTACACCGATATTGATAAATCAATGGATAAAAATGCATTTTGTAATGCATAAAAATTGTACATGCCGAGAAAAAAATCAGCTTTCTAAAAATTCAGTTTTTACTTACGGAATCTGACTTTGATAGAAAATTTGGTACGGAATGAGGTATCGTAATCTCTTGATTTTTGGAACATAATGCTCACGATGTATGAAAAATGACGGGTAAAATTTTAGCTTTGCATTATATTTTTGTGACCCAGCAATACATCTGATTGTATTATGAACGTTATTTAAAATTCTCATTTCACAAATACGACGTTTATACATAGCATAAGTTGAAATTATATTTTCTGAAATTATGGATTTCAATATATTTTTTTTTAATTTTCTGGAAATTGCTAGTAAATATCAATGACAATTACGATTACTGCACTTGGTGTCAATTTAAATACAGTGTTACTTGACTACTTATAGTTTAATAAAGGTGTAGAAAATGCCGAGAAAATGCAATGAAATCCTATAATCTCTTAATTTTTGAATTACAATGATCAGAATGTACGAAAATTGATTGGTTAAAACTTTAACTTTGCATCCTTATTATTCCTTATTTGCATACCTGTTCATTCATTTGACTGATTATGAGAGTGGATGAAAATAAAATTCTTGTCGGATTTGAACGCCGTTTAGACAAGTTTTGATATATTTGTAGCGAGTATTTGTATTTAGGGGAAAAATCTGAGCTTTGTATAACCGTACCGTTTCTAGAGTGGTTTTTTTAATGTAACGAGCTAAATGGGAGGCTTGTGAGTCGAGTTATTAGAGAGATTTGGGTCGAAGCTGAAATCAAATCCGTTTCGGTTTGGCTTCAACATTTTACGAAGCCAAGCCAAAACAGATTGTCTTGGACGAAACAGGTTTAAATCGAAAATTTAATAATGTCGGTTTTGTTAGATTTGGACGCCATTTAGAGAAATTGTGATATATTTGACGTGATTTTGTATTAAAGGAAAAAGTCCGAGCTTTTGTAACGATCTGTTACATAGCACGGACTTATTTCTATTTTTAAGAATACTAAAGATATAAATACTTTTTAAAAAATTACTAAAAAACAGCGGTTCTGCTGGTATGTAGAAAAAAACACAAATTTCCCAAAAGACATGAGCGTACTTAGGACAACGTTTTATTTCGCATCACAACTCATTTAGCAAACTTGAAATTAAATACAAATAAATATATCATAGGGTTTCTTTACATAAGTTGCACAAGAGTTCATATTCATAAATATTTTGAAAATTTAAGACTTTCCAATTTTTTTTAAATTTTCAGATATTTTAAACCCACTTGTAGACAAAGTCTTGGTCTTTTTGGTCAGTCAGAAATCTTGTAATTAAGGAGCACCTTGCTGAGCGTGTGCCCGGGAAAAAAATTTAGTATTTTAACTGTGTCATTCATCAAGGTAGAATTTATTTATAAAGATTTTCGTAAAAATTATGAAACTAGATGCAGCATTCGTTTAGATTTCACGTTGATTCCGATAATTTTATAATATACGTACATATCGTAATTTTACCACAGATAATATACAAATACATAAAAATTTTGCAGTTTTGTACAAGGCGGTATGAGTTGCAAATAATGTTATCATTTAATGCAATACATAAGTTAAGAAAATTAATTAACCTATTAAACTGGTCAATTTAGTTTAATTTGTTACTTAACCAGCGGCCATTGCCAAATTCCATAAAAAATTGCTTTAGAATATCGCTTTAGCATATTTTTTTACAAATTATTATTTTTAACAATAATTTGTAACTTTTTTTTTACCAAATTGATAACTCGAACTGCAATAAACTAAAAAAGACAAATAAGTAAGAAATGAGTGGGTGTGGCGGGCGCAAATGGAGCCATGAACTAAACTTTTGCTAGCCTCACCTAGTACCACAACATATCCAAAGGGCATCAAAATCGGTGATTCTATCGGTGAAGGGTTGTCCCCTCAGACTATCACTCATTTATTAAACTTTTCCCATTTCGTTGGCAGGATTCAATATCTAATCAACTGTAAATTTAATCATGGCCCAATAAGATATCCTATAGGCTACCTTTTCCTAAACTCAGGGCAAATTAAGATAAGCAAAATTAAGACATTTTTACCTGATGATTTAAGATATTCTCAGGGCTCATTAATAGCCACCCATGAGAGAAAAGAATAATCTACTTCGTTATTAAAGATTATCATTTCGTAAATAAATATTACTAAGGGGGTGAAGTCCCTCAATGAATATGAAATCCTTCAAATGTTCTTGCTAATTGAGTTTAAAATGATTTGGATCATTTACTATGATTTATGAGTTTACCATAGTTTACCAATTAATAAAATTAATTTCACCCGGTATCGTTTCGCCCCAGAATCAGAACCGTTTCGGACTTTTCACTATAATAATGGCCTTATCGCGATGGCATTTCCCATTTTGGCGCACATGGCCAACACCACTTGGTAAGAATTATAATGAAAAATTCGTTTTCTAAAATTTGATTTACAAATTTGCATAGGTTTCCTTCACGCAGATTGAGCAAGAGCCCCTCTTTATTTTGTAATTTTGAGGACATTTCGAAATTTGTACTTTACCATTTTATAAATAAGCAAGGCACGTGGACATTTTTAACGGAGGACACCAGCTCCAAATCTTTTTGGAAGTATTGATTTTTTTAACTAATCAGAAATCTTTAAGTGAAAATTGATAGATAAATTATCAGATAAATAGATGTGAAATATTTTCAATTTTTTTGACACCCAATTTTTTATTAAATTTTTCTGAAGATGTGTCACATATTCTGGCTCTGGCTCATAATTTTGTGAGACAGCGAGGCAATTCACGTAGGCATGGTGACTGGGTAAAAATTTTGTGAATTTGTTTTTGCAAAATTTGACCAGTTTTAACAAACTGGATCAAGTCATTTTTATCCTTGAACAATTTACACT